GCTGGCTGGTGCAATGACCAGTGCATTACCCGTCCAAGGCTGTGCTCAAAATCCCCCTTTTTATAAAAATAGTACACTACATAGTGTGTCAGCCATGAAGTGTTTGAAATGTCAATGGTAAATCTCTTGGTCATTCCATGGTACTTATCTAGCAGGTTCATAATTTAGTAAATTCTATGTAGTGAATAGTTAATGAGTGAATGACTGGCAACAGCTGACTAGAAGCTGCCATCTGATCAGACTGATAACAGTCTGGACTTTCAGCAATATGTTCCTGATCCAAGAATAACAAGAGAATTCTTCATGTAAGAAATGTACACTCGCTGTTCAATTTATGTACTTCCAGTTTCTGGCCACTTATTGGTCCACTCAATACAGTACTGTACAAAAGGCAGAGACCACCTGTCATTTCTTTGATTTCCAGTCAAAACAGCCATTAAGCTCATTATTCATTGTTTTGTGTCAGGAAAAAAACATATGTATGTATATTTTTTGTATATACAGTGCCACACCTTCATTACAGCTTCCATTCTTCAGGAGACTTGCTTTCAGTTTTTCTAAGTCTTTAGGGATATTTTTCCACACCTCTAAAGTTCAGTCTTAGAAGTTGGTTGCATTTCTGTTTCTCATGATCCAAATAATCCCAAACACATTCAGTGATGTTGAGGTCTGGACTCTGGGGTGGTCAGTCCGTCTCCTTTTCTCAGTGAGGTTCTTCTTGACAGCTACACATCCTTTCAGACCCATAGCGCTGAGTTGTCTTCTCACAGTGGAAGGATGGACAGAAACACCTGTGGATGTTTTCAGACCTGAAGCAGCTTGATTTTCTCCTCTCTCTCAAAGATGAAAGCTGTAAGTGCTGTTTATCTGATGGGGGCAGTTTGGGCGTCTACTTGGTCTTCCAGGTGGTTGTTAGGTGCCCCATTTTCTCTGTATCGTTTAATCATTTGTTGAACTCCAGTTTTGAAAAGTCTTGTTCTTTCACTTATTTTCTTTTTTGCTTTCTCTTTCGTTATACAACTGGATTATCTTATATCTAATCTTCGCATAAATATATTCTGAAAAATGAACTTGTGTATGGTTTTGACTGGAAATTGAAAGAATGAAGGGAGGTCTTTGACTCAGCACAGTTGTACGTCAGAGTATAAATGCCATACTGATTATAGATCAACACTCTTACACTGATGTGGTGTATGTATCATCTGTAAGTTGTCCAAAGGTTCTAGAGCTTATTAGCTCTCTCTGACAAGTCTCAGAGTGCACTGACTCATGCCAGGCCCAATTTTACACTTATACATTTTAGCTGTCTCCCCATCTGTTCTATTTCTGAGCTGAATGAATTTTGACCACAGGAAGGAAACCCCCTGGCTTCTTACCTGTTACAATCAGAATGAGTGGCGTTAACAAGGCAAAACTCCACAGAGAGGGCTTCAGTAGTTGTCAGAGTGCTAGCATGACCGTTTCCACACTGTCCGCCTTGGATAGTTTACCTCAGTATCTAGAACCCTTAGATAAAATTACTGACAAATGTGAGAGTTTAAGAGCATACTTAATAAATCTGCGCTGCTCTATGGCAATATTCCATATAAATCTGCTGTCAGAACAAAACCTTGTATTTCCATTTTTGCTGTTTTGTACTTTGTCTTTAACAGAATTTGAGAACACCAGCTGCCCATTACAGCATGCTAAATTTGAATTAAAATGGGGTAATAGAGAAACTCCAAAATTACTTGGGGGGGAAAAACAGTTTGTAAAGTTACCATTTTGGAGACTAGAGTTTTTGATCCAACAGCAGCGATATACTCACTGGCCACTTTATTAGAAACCCTCCCTTGCTGTTGTACAGAGACTGTAGCTCATCTATTGATGCACAGTTTGTGTTAGCCATTCTCTTGCTCTTCATCAATTTCTGGCTACAAGGCTGATCTTGGCTGGATATTTTGGGTGGCAGTCCACTCAACCTGACGTTGTGGAAAAAGCCCCAGCTGTGTCTGATACACTCATACTAGCACACCACACACTACCATGTCAGTGTCACTGCTGTGCTGAGCATGATCCGCCACCGCCAACAGCAGTCCTGTGGTCAGGAACTGATCAATGATGAATGGGGTAGAGGGAGGACAATAAATTATACAGCAACAGGTAAGCTGCAGTCTGTAACTGTAAAAATCATTGACTGCCATTCATTTTTTTCAATTTCTGGTTAAAATGGCCATTAAGTTCTCAATTTTTCAGTAGACGTTTTTGATGAGATTAGATATAGGATAATCCACAGGAAGAAAGTCAAAGGAAAATAAGTGAGTATACAGGAGTTAACAGGAGTTTCTAAAACTGGATGACTAAAAGATAAAAGGAAAATGGGGCTCCTAACAACCACCTGGAAGACCTGGTAGACACCAAAACTGCCCCCATCAGATAAACAGCACTTTAAGCTTTCATCTTTGAGAGAGAGGAGAAAATCAAGCTGCTTCAGGTCTGAAAACATCCACAGGTGTTTCTGTCCATCCTTCCACTGTGAGAAGACAACTCAGCACTATAGGTCTGAAAGGATGTTCCAACATCTAGTGCAAGCTTTCGAAAGAGGTGTTTCATTGTATATGTGATCCAAATCAAGGAGAAAAAAAGATTAAGTAACATACATTATAGTCTTATTTGGCCTGGTAGTTGAAACAAAAAGGCAGATTGGCAGTACAGTACTAAAATTAAAGAAGTCCACTGCTGGGGTAATGGGGCATTAATGCATTTTAATCATTTTCACCCTAAATTTGCATGTATGGTGCGAACAACATGGACTTATTTGGGTTCAAGAAGTATCTTTATAATAGGGTTGAACAGAATTATTTTGCAGACAGACATTATTTTAATCTGATTTGAGAATCACTGCTTTGCGGTTTAATGCAGTGGAAAAAGTCAGCTTCATAAAAAGCAATTAGCAAAATATGAGTTCAAATTAAGCCAAATGACCAGTGAAATTGATTAAAATGAACACATACCATAGAAAAATTAAGGCACTTGATGTTAACTCTGTTGAAGTGACACTGAATGTAAAGTACACTGACGTGTGAAGGTATGCAGGACTAGGACGTGTATGTGTGTGTGCGCGTGCAGACAGGACCGGGATGAAGCTGTTCTTCAGTAAAGCTGGGCAGATGTTTGGTTTAGCAGGGGGTCTTCACACCAGCGGCTTGTGCTGAGACCTGTCACACACTCCACACCCATGAGCGATGAGAGAAGAGGGAGGAGCACTGAAGTATGCATGCACACAAACACAGCTGTCACATTTTGGCACTGAAACAGCAAGTTTTGTAACGTGGGAATGTAGGTGTGTTTGTGTATGAGTGTTTGTTTTCACACATTTTAAGGACAAGTACAAAAAACCATAGAAAAATAGGGATAGGGATAACCTACAAAACCAAAATATGCATTTAATGTGTTTTTACAAAAGCTCCATGTTTCATTTCTTTTAAACCTGAAAGAGCAAAACTATTTCTTTTTGCTTCCTGAGGTTAAAGTATAAGATTAGGCTTAGAAGAATCCTTATTACGGCCATATATAGGTACTTACATATACTGTACTATGCAAAAGTCAGAGACCACTCGTTTGTGTAATTTCCATTTAAAACATCCATTAAGTTATTTAAGTTTCTCATTTTTCAGTGTTGAAAAAAAGAAGGAAACATATTCAGCAGAAACAACGAAGGCTGTTCTCAAAGAAGTCACTGAAATTATGTTCCCCTTCAAAGAGACACTAACATTTCACACAGCTACCCAAACTCACCTTAATTGCCTCACACATTTCTCTCTGATGTGCATCTAATGGCAAAGGAGATACAGTCATGATCATAAGTATTTGGACAATGACACAATTTTTTGTGTACACCACCACAGTGGATCTGAAATGAAGCAATCAAGATGTGATTGGGGTGTGGACCTTCAGCTTTAAATCAAGGGGTTTTAACAAAAATAGTGCACTAACCGTTTAGGAATGCAACCAACTTCTAATACTGAACTTCAGATTTTTTTCTAAATACTATAAAATGTGATACATGTACTTGATGAGGTTTCTGGGCTAATTTCTGTGAAATATGTCCTCACTGTCCAAAGAAAAACAAGTATGTCCAAAAAGGTTACGGTAAAAAAGGTACTTTACTTCTAATGCAAGCATTTCTATTGGTCCAATTATTATGAAATGGTACAATTTAAAGGGCAGAGCTCAATGGGGAGTTTAAATGATGTAGAAAAATGAAAACAAAAAGGCAGATACTTCTTTTTGGGACAGCAATGATATGCCTTCCGCTTTGTTCCTGAAGCAGAAAAATTAAATAGATGAAAGGGTTTGGGGTCTTCTGACTTTTGCACAGTACAGTACATATGCATGACCCTACATCCTAAACCTGTATAAAAACATTATAAAACTGTGCACACACTTCATTCCCAGGTAAACACTGCCATGGGTCCTGTGGAAATACCTTTCTGTGTGTGTGTGTTTAGTATTCATTATGGTCAAAGGTACTTGAGGACAGATCTAATGAGGGGAGATCAGTCTATCTTCTCCTTTTCCAATATCCCTCTGGTTATGCCTCTTTTATTCCACTCATCCAGAGGATGATGGAGTGATGTGTCACACACTGCATGGCCACCTCTCTCTCTCTCTCTGCCTGCCTGTCTCTCTTCAGTTTGGGGCTCTGCGTGTGTTACACAGATCTGCTTTGTTGTGCTGCATGAAAAATGAGAAAACTGAGAGAAAAAAGAATGATCAAGTTTTAGTTAAACAGGTTTTCTCTGTGGTATTACTACTACTGCATTTTATAGTGGTTTGGTGAGTTACTGTTTTAATATCTTGCGCTTACTCTCTTTTAATGGGTCATTTACTGCCTAATATCTCTTTGTTAACTTGAGTGAGCTTCTGATTAATTGCTCTGTAATAGACTTCATGCTAATCAGCTCACAATGATGGATTTGATGCAGTTGAGTTGGAGCAGATGTAGTCACTCCACTAAAAAAATCAATAAATAGAGTTTAATTCTGTGCATACAATATGTACAATACAGTATTTCCCCTTTTACAAGTGACCAAAACCCATTTTTAACACAACTTACAATGTGATTCAACCCCAGACTAGAGAACAGATGGATGGAGCCATGTAGAAAATGTAGTGTATGTACACCAAATAAATTGAATAATTCACCCAAAAATGCTAACGTGGCTAATAAATAATTAAAGCTAGAGGAAACCAGTAAGCTTGATCCGATTTGCATAATGCTTATTGGCAGCTATTAACCTTCATTTGTTATTGGCAAGATTAGCATTTTTGGCTGATAATTCTTTTAAAGGATTGAAAAAAGTCTGATGATTGCAAAAAGTCTCAACTTATACTTATTTAATCCTGAAGGGGGCAGTATGTGTTACCTATACATGTAAGAATCAATATTCTAATTGTATGAAAAATCTTATCAAATTAAGAAAGATTTTGCGTATGTTAATATAATGAAAAAGCTACTGTTAGTTTTACTAAAGCAGCAAATAAATATTTAGACATGATATATTCCTGTAAAGAATGTAAATAAAAGGTTTGCTTGATCCCTAAAACATAATTATTATTAAAGATGAAATGGAATCGTTAGCAGGGAGTGAATTGAACATACCAGAATTCTAACACTGAAATTCAGTACCTCATGAGCATCATTTTGAAGTTCTCCATAGTACTCTTTGATGTCATGTCTTACATCTCTATTTATGAAATGTTTCATATCTGTTAATTACAGCTCTGTACGTTCTGTAGTGGGAACTGTTTCGTCATTCATGGGGAGAATTTTCTTTCAGACAAAAAGCGTCTGTTGAACGTCACATTCCCTTTGAAAATACTCCAATTCTCGACAAATCTGTGATATGTCCAATTCTTTCTGTCAACGAGCTCGTTTTATCACAAGATTGCCTTTTTAGAGGAAATGCCGGTCAGAGCGTAGCACTTAGTAATCCCCTGTTGGAGGAATGTAAATTCTCAAGTGCTGTTGCAATTGCAGCAAAAAAAACCCCAAAAAACAAAGTGAGAAGTGTTCTGTGCATTCGTTGAATCAAGCCCTTTGGGTTTGCTCAACATCTTGCAAAGAACTTGCGTCACACTGCTCCTACATCAAACCAAACTAGGAGACGTACCGTACTTGATATCATTAATCAGTGCATTTTAACTGCTTGCAGATAATCCACGAGGATATTTCAAACCTGCGTTAAGTAATACTAGCTCTGAGTGGACATGTGCTCTCAGGGTGGTGGGAGAATAACTTTGTAAACAGTTCTTTGATCTTATGACGCTCCAGTAACAGAAAGGGAATGCTGCCCTCAAGCTTCTTCCTCTGAACATCTACATTTGGTTATTACATCAGAGTCTCTTAAACCAAGACATTAAAAAGGCTGAATCCAGCCGTCTTAGGAATGCACATTCAGTTCCGTTTCCCGCGGTCACCTTTTCACAGAGGGAGGGATGGAAAAGAGATGGATTTATCAGATTCCTGCTGAGGCTGTTCCCTGTGTGTTTTAAACCTCTAGCAACTCTGTGACTCTTAGCACGGCTACCGACGGCAGTTTTGTTCGTCCAGGCTTCAGTTGAGTGACGGGCAGCGGTGATGCCATCGCTGTTTCCTGGGAGAACACATTCCCCCTTCACTACTCTTGATGTGTTTCTCTCTCTTACACTCTTTCCTCGCTCTCTTCATTTCTCGTTTTAATTCCTCCTCCTCAGATGTTCTCCAGCACGTCACAGGGGACGAATCCTCTCTTCTTTCCGCTGGCTACTCTGATGAAGCCGTTATGTTCGTCCTCGTTGCTCACGCAGATCTAAAAGACATGTTTAAACAAAGTCAAAAAAAGAAATGCAGTATCTCTCTTTTAAATCCATCCTCTGCTTTTCCCAGTTTCCCTACACAGCACGATTTACCCTAACATGTCTGGCTCAAATCATTAACGGTTTAATTAATTAGCTGAAGGAAAGACTAAATGAGCTGATTATTAGCTGAATAAAAGACTAAATTATAAAGTGTAGGGGTGCACAGTGATTTGGAATCAACTGGTTGATAGTAGAGATAAAGTTTACTGAGGTCGCTCACCTGTCCCTCTTTCAAGGTGATTTGGCCCTGCTCTTTACAGCCAATGAAAGTGCGGTTACACCTGAAGACCTGGTCCCCTGCCCTGACCTGGTGTGCAAAGGATGCTGGGAAAAAACCTATTCTGTCATCGATCACACCCTAAAAAGAATTAATCAACAAAAATGCAACACTTTAATTATGAATAAATGCAATTTATTATGTACACTGAAAATATATCATGTGGTCAAAAGTATGTGAACACTGGACCATCATATCTATATGAGCTTGTTGGACATTCCATTCCAAAACCCTCAGCATTAATATGGAGTTAACAACCCCCCCACAATTTATCCTAAAGGTGTTCAGTGGGGTTGAGGTCAGGGCTCTGTGCAGGCCACTGGAGTTCCTCCATACCAAACTCATGAAACCATGTCTTTATGGACCTCACTTGCTGGAACAGGAAAGGGTCTTCCCCAAACTGTTGCCACAAAGTTGCAAGCTTATAATTGTTCAAAACGTATTTGTATGCTGTAGCATTGACATTAACCTTCACTGGAATCTTCACCTGAAAAACAGCCCCAAACACCTCCTCCACCACACTGTTGGAACTACGCATTTCCTATCTGCCAAACAGGAAAAAAGTGATTTATCACTCCAAAGAACACGCTTCCACTGCTCCAGTGGTCCATGCTTTACACCGCTCCAGCCGACGCTTGGCATTGTGCATAGCAATCTTAGGCTTGTATAGCTGCACAGCCATGGAAACCCATTTCATTGAGCTGTTGTTGCGTCCTGAGGCACTGTGGGAGTCTGTAGTGAGTAATGCAACAGAGGACAGGCGATCTTCTCTGTGGGTGTGTGTAGTGTGCTTCGTGGCTGAGCTGTTGTGGCTTCTAGATGGTTCTTTTTCACAATAATCGCACTTACAGTTGACCAGGGTAGATCCAGCAGGGCAGAAATTCCAAGACTTGTGGCATAAGTTGGCATCTTATGACAATACCATTATTAAAAGTCACTGAACTCTTTAGTATGACTCATTCTAATGCCGATGTTTGTCTATGGAGATCGCATGGCTTTGTTGTATACACCTGTTATAACATTTTACATCTGTTAGCAATGGTTGTGGCTGAACTCCTGAACTCAATAATTAGGAAGGGTGTCCACATACTTTTGGCCATACACTGGATATTACTGTTATATAATGTAGATCCCTCAACCCTACACTTTATGCTAAAGTTGTGAAATATAATACTATACAGTTTTCATTCTGTCATATTTCAATATTCTCTTGGATTCTATGGATTATTCTTGCCACTTGTTTATGATTAGTCAGGATTAAAGGTCTCACCTTCCACCAATCATCATTAGAATCATCCGCCAGTATTATTCGATCGCCGGGTCTGAAAGACAACATGTGAATAGAAGAAAAGAATAATTTCACATTATATCTACCTTTTCAAAAAGGCTTTTCTGATTGAAATATTATATTTGTTGATTATGTCCTGTTAATGAAATCTGTGATTATTTCCCTTTTGGTTTTGTGAGAATGTATTTGAAAGCCACACGCACTTGCAGAGGCAAGTAGAGCGCTCTAATCATTTACAGCCTGTGCCTCCCAGTGTGGTGTCAATGAATCTGAAATGAACTTGTGGAAATTGAAGTGTTACTGCGGGACTGAAGTGAGAGAGGGAAGAGGAGGCAAAGGACTCTCAAGGCAGGGTACGACGAAGATGCAGGTAATGCTTAATGACAGTCTACCAGAGACGTTACTTATCTCTAATCATGGTAGGGACTAGGGTAGTATTGAACTGAGTCATAACAGTAGCATAAAATAGAGTACCAGTGAAAACTGACCAGCTAAGACCTCATATGGACATTGAGAATGTGCATTAAACCAATGACTACAAAAAACAACAATGCTTTGGTCAAACCAAACAGTGTCACTAATCAAAACCAATGCTGATAAAACTGCATATTGTTCAGCTAAATGGCAAAGACTTGTGTATGTAATCCATTGATAATTAATAGCCTAATTAAGGCTCAGTGTGTGCATGCTTATCTGCACAGGTAAACACGCAGTGTGTGTTCTGCATTTAAAGCAAAGAGAGAAGCGAACTGTATCACTGGGGCCATTTCCACAAGCTAATTAAACATCCTGCCTCTTCGGGTTGGGGAGAAGAGGGTGTAAGTCACCGTGTGGCAGAGATAAGCTTACTACAAATACTCAGGAACACAAAATCGTACAAAAAGCAATCTAACAAGTGAAACACCCTTGTCTCAAAGCGTACCAAAACAGCCTGTGATACACATGAGTGCCAGATGATTTAGTGGGCACATTCGTTTAGTCTGACGTTGTTTGTAGCCTCTATTGTTACTGCCAATAGCAGTGATTCTTCAATGACACTTAGAGACTTATGAGTTTTTACTTGCTTCAGCACATCAGATTTACCTCCACAGATTATTCGCAAGTATGAGAAAGAAGACTGAACTATGCAGGGCTTTGGCCTGTTTAATAATAATAGTAAGTTACCCTTTATTAATCCAACAACATACACACTAGTGAATGCACACACACTAGGGGGCAGTGAGCACACTTGCCCAGAGTGGTGGACAGCCCTATCCACAGCACCCGGGGAGCAGTAGGGGGTTAGGTGCCTTGCTCAAGGGCACTTCAGTCACGACCTGTCAGCTCAGGGGATCAAACCGGCAACCTTCTGGTCACAAGGCTTTGGGAGCAGCCCATGACTGCTCCCAAAACTAGAGGTGAATAAGTTATTTGTTGTGTGCAATATTCTGTAGCACAGTATAATATGACTCTGCATCATCAGTTTGTCAGAATTTAAAACTATATTTAATCCTCTATTGCACGATGTTGCCTCAGGGCAACAAACTCATTCTCCTCACTTTAGAATAACGTTATACATATTTAAAGACAATGAAAAGGTTTACAATAAAGAGTTTGAGTATGTCAATAAATAGCATGTGCTTAGTCATACTATCTCTTAGTGGGCACATTTAAACCTCTTTTTCTAATGTTCAGTATAAATTTTTTTTTATGAGAATTTGCAGAAATATGTTTGTTGCCTAGAAGCAACATTGTGTGACAGTGGAATAGACTTAGCCAGTCACAAGCCAGGTCTTACCACTTCAGGGAACACAGCTCTATATCATGTCTTCTTTTTGTCGCACAATGTTGCCTCAAGGCAACATACTTCAAAAGGACCCCTACACATATCTTTTTTTTTATTTTTTTTTTTAATGTTTTTTAATTAAATAATTGGATCAGAAAAATTAAATCAAGAATCATTTTATTCAAGAAAAGTGAATTTTTTTAAATTGCTTTAATAATGTTTGCAGTAGAGGGTTAAGTGGGTCTACAATCTTAACAGGCTTAGGGTCATGTTATTGGTTGGGGTTCAGCTTTGTCTTAATTTCAGAGAGATGCAATTACTAGCTTTTACCTCAGTACTTGGCCCTCATAATTGTAGAAATATAAGTTTTTGTGTCTGTGAGAGATGGTCATTTCAAGCTCACCTCATCTCCAGGTCCTGGCTATCCTGGGGGGTGAACCTATACAAAGCCACGTAGGTGTTAAGCTGCAGGAGGTCCTTCCGCAACTCTCGGTCTGGCTGCAAATCAGAAACACATCAACATTATCAACTAAGTCTGAAAAGCACACAAACACAGCCAACAAAATTATGACACAACCAAGATAAAAAAAAATGCTTTATCTATTTGTCACACAATACTGGAAAAATGCTATCTCAATGTATTACATACAAAAATAGTCTGTTTCTCTCAGCACTTCACAAGGACCAACTGCTTGGCAGGAACTGCCTTGATTTGTTAGGTGCAAAGACAGAAAACCTTGTTTGTCATCTAGTCAGACACTTACCTTAACCACATATGTTTACTGAGATTCCAGTAAACAGCTCTAAACTGGCAAAATAAACAGACAAATGGAAAAAGCTCAACTCTCGTCTCTCTCTGAAGCGAGAATCATGCGCTCACTTTTGTCTCGAAAAGATCTGGAGACGGCTGCGTGTGGGAGGACGAGTCCTCCGTCATTGTTTATGGTGTGATTCAGGAAATGAAAGGATGGGAGAGGAAGTGAAGGGAACGTAGCAGGTCTGAGACTAACACCCCAGGCAGAGCCAGTCTGGTGCACTACGCATACGCTTCTCATGACTTTACAGCTTACCATCTGGAGGAAAGATGTGGGAGCGCTGAACGGTGTTAAGAGACCCATCGAGAAAAGATTAGGTGTTTAAGGTATTATTCTAGTGTAAAGTATCTGTACTGATTTTAACACTTTGTGTTCCTGTGACAAAGGAGATTTTAAAAGAATATTTCAACTAAAAATAATGTTGCTAATGAATGAGATCCAGGAGATGCCGGTTAGCATTATGCAAATAGGATGCTAACTGGTACCCGCTGCCTTTTATTCATTGTTAGACGCATTAACATGTTAGGGAAAGTGCTGTATTCTCTTAGACACAGTAATGAGGCTTCCAGAGTCAGCCTTTGGTGCTGATAATGCAAGCTCAACTTTTCGCTTGTCAGTATTTGAGCTGACTTCTTTTTAGTGGCTATTGCCGTATTATGTACAGATATCTTCACAAATTTGACGTTTGACATGAATGTTGCTTTAGAAAAGTGTTTATTGTGTTAAGTCGGGATGCACCAACCCGCTCCTTTTCTCTCCTGAAACTGTTTCTGATATCTGAATTCAGGGTTTTGACCAATACCAAGTACTGATCCGATACCAGTGCTCTGTCAAAACACTTGTATTTCGTCTTAGCAAAGTAGCATAAATATACAGCATAAATTATTTTCAACATTTTAAAATGATATTCTAGGTTTATAAACCTAATGACCATGACTAGTGGATGGGTCTCACCTGACTAAAACCACTCAGCTTTATAAGATTAGTGTCCATGCCAATGCTGAAGCAGTCCATCAGATCAATCCACCACAACTGTTGAAAGCCAATTCATGGTGACATTTTAAATAAATTTAAATAAAAAAACCTCTCAGTCCAAAGTCCTGTACAGTACTATGCAAAAGTCAGAGACCACCCTTCATTTATTTCATTTCCAGTCACAACAGCCAAGTAGACGTTCAGGACAAAAAACAGAAAACTTATATACAAATATATAAACAGAAAATTATACAAAAGCCTCAACTAAATACAACATCAGTATTTTAAATCAACCAAAATTAAAGCAAAAAAAAATAATAACATAATGATCACTTGGAGTTGAAATTACATTAATGGGTGGACTTTTCCAAAGTACTGTATATGATCCCACAGCACCAGCTTTGACTTCACTCCAACTCTGTTGGATGTGACTATGCCTTGGGCTGCTGCAGGTCATGTTATTGTCTCTGCTTGACGCTCTCCACTCTCCACACAGTCCAGACCACTTTATGGCCCCACAGGCAGAGTTACAGCCTGCGCTTTGCAGCCCTGCTATCAAATATGGGGCTGTGTGTGTGTGTCTGTGGAGGGGTGGACGTGGGTTGCAGAATGTGTGCGAGTGGATGTGGGTGGGGGTTAAGAGCGTCACAGCAGGTTGTGAAAGATGCAATGTAAAGAAAAAGTGCCGAGCTCCTCTGCATCTACATTTCTTATATATCTCTGTATGAATGTGTGTATTTCAAGCTCTGTATTCCAGTGCAAATCATGTTACAAGCAACTGAGAGAAGTCAACAAGCTAAGCTGGGAAGGCCACCAGAGAATGACTCGAAGGCTGACAGTGAGCAACAACGCATGCACTCACACTAACACACACAAAGGCTGGCTAATAAAACTGAACACAGATTTGGAGGAGGAATGTGTGTGGGCGCTGGACTGCACTGGTGCTCCTGCTGAACAGCTGTGTGTCTCAGATGCTGTGTGCTGTCTCCTCTCACTAGAATAGATAAGACAGGATGCTGCATTTTTTTCAGACCCATCTGAATCAGCTGATGTAATAATGAACACCCATATCCAAGCATTGTTATGATTATGGTTGCTCTAAAATTATGAGCCAGTGATAAAGGCTGTAGATAATCTCACATTTGTTTTGGAATGTGCTACATCATCATACGTACTCTGTGACAGCATTAATCATACAATTTAAAGAAATGCAGCACTGTTTAAAACCATTTATCTTGTCAGAAAGTCTGCTTTTTAGTCTGTAAAAATATGTATCATTACAACAGATGCAAATAAACATAAACACAATAAACAGTATAACCTCCTGGACGCCCCAAACCACCGATTTGTTCAATTACATCAACAGCACACTTGATTAAACATAACAAAACCCCAATTAGCCAAAGTAGGTATTGGATGTAACTACAAATAATACTGGGCTGCCATGAGGAGAGTTTTGGAAATACTTAATCCCTTAAAACCCCAGGTTTATTACATACTAAGGCTTATTACTCTGTGTCTACAGTGACTTCAATGCAAACTGTTTGAGCTATTGTTAGGTTATAGAAGTGTATAATAAAACTTTGGACCTGTCGGTGGGCCCTGGACATGTAACAAATGTACTGACATATGTAAATTCACTACTTATTGTATTGATGCTATTGTATTTATTCTAATATTTGTGTTTTTCTAAGCAAATAAACATTACCTGCCCAGATAAATCGTTTTTACATTTTCTCAGGTGAGTAAAAATGCGATAAGTCGCTTCACGCGAGTTAGCTGCAGTTTTAAAGGAATGTGATCTGTAACTTACTAAAGGTTCAGCTAGATTAGCTGACAACTTCATCTAAATTAGCCATTGCTATCCAAACTACATGCTAGCCTACCATTTCAAATTGCTTTTGTACCTTTGCTTTAACCTCATATTGACCATGGTATATTTTGGTTTGTCCATCTGAATTTACATGACCAAATCGTAAGGCAAATTATTCAGTAACTGCATGAAATAAATGTAAACTTTTATATATTTATTTATTTTACTTTGATTTTTTTACTGCTGAAAACCAAAAATCTTAGATGCTCTTTGTATTATTTTATAAAGATAATTTTTATCACTGGAGAGACACCATCTATTTATAGTTTATAGCCCAGATTTGTGGAAAAATGGGTCGACTTTCAGTAGACAAAAAAAAATTGTGAGTTCAGCTTCTTTTATTATAAGGATTTAAAATACATCACCCATCTATTTGACTGGAAAGATACCAGTTACAGCTCTCATACGACATCCACTCATTTTGAATGTAGCTTATGAAATATGAACTGGTGGTTCCAAGGAGTTGAAAAGGTGAAACATCACATTTACTGCATGTAGTGCATCACTCTCTTCATCAGAGCAGAAGTTTTTTCAATAAAATAATAAAAGTCTTCTTACTTGAAGCCATATAGAACCTGATGCTACTGCGAGCTGCAGTAAAATGGTTTTATTTGTTTACTGTGTTAATGTTGGCATCTTAAATTAATCACTTTTTCCTCAGGCTGATTCTTAAATCCACAAGTCAGTTAAGGGTGAGTCCAAGTTTAGTTGCTGACTCAAGTCCTCATCTCTGATATATACAAACACAAATGCTATGTTTAGAGACAGCAACAGTGTTCATGTCCAAGCTGATCTATGCAGGCATTAAAAGATGTGACATATATCCCTGTTGGGTGTAGATGTGAACAAAATAGACCTGACACTGAGAAGAGAAAAGTCTGAAAAGAAGGTAATCCTCATTCAGCCATACACTTGTCACAAAACGGAGGAGCAGCAGTGTTATCAGATCAACTGAATTTCCCAATCTTGCAGTTCAGCACACCGCTGTATCTTCTGTCAGTCTTTGTAGGACAGGCAGGACAAAGCTGGTGAATAACTGAAAAACATGGGGAACTGGGACAAGCTGCACCTATACTCAGTTCAGCAACGTTCAGGTCTAAATTTGTTTTGCCGTATCATCTTCTTCAATATATATAAACTAATATATTTGGCTGCATGGACTGCCAAGCAAGGACAACAAATATTGCTTTCATAGGATGAAGTCAAAGATTAAAAAAAGATGAAACTCCATAAAGGAGCTGACCACAGCTAAAGGTGGGTCAATCTGCAAGCATAGCTAGGCCTAAGTTATTTAAAGAGAGCCGTTTTCTACTCGGCTCCTGGGAAATTTGGGAGCCGTGGCATATGGCCAAACATAGCAGGCTGAACTGACTTCAGAACTGATTTCAGATCAGTTCTCAGACCTGAAAGAACAAAGAACATCTGACCTGGATTCAGTTCTCATTAAGACCAGAAGGAGTGAAGGTCAGAAAAACTGATCCGAGACCTGAGACAAATAAAGATGAGCTAAATGAGAGAGGTTCTGTTCAGCTGTATTGTTTGTTTATCTGTTTATCTACACTGGGAAAATCACTAAATATTAGTGCTTCGTCGTGGAAACTTTTTCATTTCCCATGGAAATAAAGGCAGGAATGTTTTCTGGTGCACGTTAAGCTGTAAATATACTGTGATTTTTATTGAACTACGGACGTAAGCGTTATAAACCGGGGCAACACATGCCATGAATTTGTGTGCACTCATAATCTTAGAATCAGAGGGAGAGAGACCGTCTATAGTCAGGCATCCCGAGGGATCTGCTTTAATTTGTGACCTCATAAAGCTGTGCTGATCTCAGGACGCTTTTATTTATGCCTGTGTGTTGGCAGCCTGGTCCTGTGGTATGAGATAGGGCCACCCCCCACCCCTCCATCATATTTTCAACTTGCCCAATCTTTCTCTCTTCCTCCTTTTTAAATCCGATTTTCTCCTGAATGTTAGTCGTACTGCCAGTTCCCACGCGCTTTCTAGGTCTCCTGCATCCAGCGTAACAGAAAAGAACAGGGACGCAGGGAGAACATGTTTCAGAAAATTTTTAAAAATGCTCCTCAAATTTAAAAAAAGGCTATCTGCAGACACCATAGTCACCTGTGGCTGATGGATTAGCCCATGTGATATTTTTAAAAAGTCACTGGATCGTTCTGCAACACTGAAGCAAATGATGTGGGTGTAACACGAATTGCTTTTCGATTGAAGGACCCAGACTTATTTCTAAATCTGTTTCAGCATCATTGGAGAATAGGCCTTCTGCCCATTACCAACACCCGAAACCATGAGTACATCAAAATCTATGGTGAAAATGCCAACCATCGAAACATGGAATAAAACAGAGCTCTGCAAGGCAGGTAATAAGGCTAGCAAAAATGGTTATATAAAAATGCCCTCATAAAGGTCAAATCCAGGGGGCTAAAATGGCCACAGTGTTACCAGCCAAGAGGGTGAGGACAAATATGTTTCCGCTGGCACACTCGTAGCCAGCCACTGTATCTTTTAAAGCTGCTAGTCATGCATAATAAGGCAGCTTAGCACATTTGGAGTAGACCACTAACCATGCTGTTCAACATATGTAACATAACAGACAGTCTCAATTGGCTAACAATTATGAGGGCATTATATCATCAGAGACAGAGAGAGAAGAGAAAGAGAGAAAACACAGTCAGTGATTAATGCCTGTACGCCAAAGCTGCACTATATGGACATAAAATGTGATTTTTGAAAAAGCTGTTGGATGTCATGGATGACAGCCAACCACCTGAACCTAGATTGAACTGTTATTCCTATTCAGAGGTCCTAACCATGATCTTGCTACCTCAAGCACTCCTTAGTCGTTCCGTCTGAAGATGCAAGAAGGCTTGGCCCGATTCTGGATGACCAGTTATCTTTCTCAGCACATACTGCACTCATACCTGACTCATGCATTTTTCTCCTTTACAACATTCAGAGAATTCCATTCTTTCTCCCTAAAAAGGCCACCCGAGTGCTTGTTCAGTCTCTTGTCATCTCAAGGCTTCAGTACTGTAACTTGCCCCTGCCTGGTCTTCTTTTTCAGGCCAGCAGGCCCGTGCAACTGATGTAGACTGCATTCCCCCTCTAAGTTTGTCACTCCCTTCACTGGCTTCCTATAGCTGCCACTGGACAGCACAGTTCCTCGCTGTCGTCAAGGGTGGACTGAAGACCCATCTCTTTGTGAAGTATTGAAATGAACACTAATCAAGCATTTTTTGATATGTATTGTATTTTGTTTGTTTATTTCTAGGTCTCATTCCCACCAGTCTAATTACACCACTTTGGTGCTACATCCACAGCCTTCTTAGGCCCTGTTCACACATGGTATTAACATCTGTATTGAGTAATCTGACCATAAGTGGACCGCGAGACATGTAGTCGTTCACACTTGACATTTCCATGTGTCTCAAATGTGTCTCCACTGGTCGGATTTCGTGACTGGAGGAAGGATACCACCCACATTTACTACGTCAGTCTCCTGCATGTTATTCACTATTCAGTATTTTGTTTGTTTCCAAACAAAAATGTTCCACACGTCTCTGCTGTGATGATGCAGCTGGTTAAGGCCGTCCTTCGCCGCTGTCAAAGGCGCAATGCGACACTTCAGCGTTCACACCTTAAATGTTAAGTAGTCATATGTGTACCTGGTGGTTTGAGTGATCAGATGACAGTGTGTTTCCGAGACACACTGTGCCCTGTTCACAACTGTACTTAGCGCTGTCCACTTATGAACAGATCACCCAGGACGCATGTTAGGACATCATTTATAATTATGTCACTAAAGAACCTCTTAATCTGTCTTTCACATCCAGAGCTTCCCTACTCATATTCATTTCTCCAAATCACTTTCTTTAATTGAGTTGGTCTTTTTGACAGGAGCTCCTGCCTCCTGGATCCCTATTTCTGGTACTTTTCACATGGTTGGTGTCAAAAGTCACACTCAGCAGTATTTCACAGCAATCCAGATGTGCAGCTCTGTTTGAATGATAGCGAAAATAGTGGGGTGCTTACCGGAGAGTCTTCAGGTTTCTTCTCTTCTACTTGGAAGTTCTCCGTTCCATTCTCCAGAGATGTAAAAACTGGAAAAACATCAGCAATGATCAGGACATGAAAACATGAGCAGCTATTGTTTTAGATGACTGGGGCCACTGAATGTTTTGAGTCACCTGACTTTTTCTAACTTGGTCTAACTGTGTTTCCTGTACTGATTAGTTCAAGGCTCAACTCATCTTCTTCCTCCAAACATGAAAGACAACATTAGAATAGTCATTTATCAAGTCTTAAACCAACATTTGTCTACCTTTGAGCCATCTAATATTTCTTAGCAGGGAAAAAATTGTGTCTAGAAACCCCCCGCCCCCACCACCCCTTTCTGGTGGTACAGGAAAGCGCCAGCATTTTTGTGGTCACAATGGCCATTCAGAGGCAGTTTGATAGAATTAGGGCCCTGCACCATCAATGTGTTAGAGAGAGATAAGCTACAGTGGGGCTCCTTGTGTCTGCAGTACTGTCTCTGATGTGCTGGACTTGACCTGATGATCTGTCTCCCTCCTAGTAACAGAGCCGGTCTGACCACTGCTAGTTAAAGTCTTCCCCTTCCCAGAGAGACTATGACAGCACTCACAAGTACATGGTCTGGTCTGTATTTGCTTCATTTTATGAAAAAGAACAACAATCTCCAGCTTTTTACGCTTATGTGCTTTCATGTTTGAATGAGTTTCCACCTAACATCAATCTCGGCCCACAAACACTCCCACAACAAACCAGCAATGCTTCTTTTTTTTTTGACACATACCATAATTTCTTGTGAATGTGGTCTAAGAAAGCTACTCCTAAACATGCATTAGTGCTTCTTTGGAATGGTGTATGCTAGGGATGCTCAAATATAGGAAACGTGGGACTAGCCAACATTTTTCACATATATACAATATATGGACAAAAGTATTAGGACACCTACACATTACACCTAAAGGAGCTTTTATGACATCCCATTCTAAATCCATAGGTATTCATATGGAATTCTCCTCCCTTTGCAGCTATAACTGCTTCCACTCTTCTAGGAAGTTTTCTACAAGATGTTGGAGAGTGTCTGTGGGAATTTTTGCCCATTCATCCAGAAGAGCATTTTTGAGGTCAGACACTGACACTGTTCATTCCATTCCAAGTATTCGATGGGGTTGAGGTCAGGGTTCTGTGCGGGCCAGTCAAATTCTTCCACACCAGACTCACCCAGCCATGCCTTTATGGACCTTGCTTTGTGCATTGGTTCACAGTCATGCAGGAACAGAAAAGGTTCTTCCCCAAACTGTTCCCAGAAAGTTGGAACCAAACAATTGTCCAAAATGGTCTTGGTCTGTTGAAGCATTAAGATTTCCCTTCACTAGAACTAAGAGGTCTAGGCCAACCCCTGAAAAACAACCCCATAGCATTATCCCTCCTCCACCAAACTTTACAGTTGGCACAAGTCAGGCAAGTAATGTTCTCCGGGCATTCTCCAAACCCAGACTCATCCATCAGTCTGACAGATAGAGACGTGTGATTCATCACTCCACAGAATATGTTTCCACTGCTCCAGAGTCCAGTGGCGGTGTGATTTACACCACTCCATCCAATACCTGGCGCTGTGATGTCAGGCTTGCATGCAGCTGCTCGGCCATGGAAACACATGCCATGAAGCTCCCGGCGCACAGTTTTTGTGATGTTGATGCCAGAGGAGGTCTGGAACTCTGCAGTTATTGATCAGCAGAGCATTGGTGACTTTTATGCACTATGCACCTCAGCACTCAGCGACCTGCTCTGTAACTTTACATGGTCTGACACTTCATGGCTGAGTTGCTGTGGTTTCTAAACGCTTCAACTTTTCAATAATACCACTCACAGTTGTGGAATTTCTAGAAGGGAAGAAATTTCGTGAACTGACTTGTTATAACAGTGGCATCCAATTACAGCACCACGCTCGAATTCATTAAGCTCTTTGGAACGACCTATTATTTTACAAATGTTTGCATGGCTAGCTGCTTGGTTTTATACACCTGTGGCAATGGGGCTGAATGAAATACCTGAATTCATAGATTAAGAGGTGTGTCCCAATACTTTTATCCATATAGAGTATCTTCCGATGCCAATTTATAAACAATTGTGAAATGTAGAAACTGGGACTAGATCCACCTGGATTAGCAATATGAAGAAATCTAACATTCATTTCAGTATATAAAAAACGTAATGTTAGTTACAGAAATCAAAAAGGGAGATTCATCGCGACGCATATATAATCTTGGCACCTAATCAAGAGGTGCCTGTAGATTCCAACCCCTAAAATACATAAGTAAATATCAGTTTGAAATATCGACCACATCTTAAGATCTGTCCAATGCCTGATTTTTTTTATTTGTCAATATGATTCCAATATTATCATGCATCCCTAGCTCAAGCATTAACTCATTCACTATTCACTACAGTGTTTGCTATACAGTGAACTGACCAGAGAATGACCACAGAACAACTGAAAGATTTACCACTGAAGATTCATACAGCACTACAAATGGCTGATACACTATATAGTGTTGTTTAGCACCAAGCATCCTTATTATTTAGTGCTGTATAACAGCCAGGAGTCGTCCTACCAATATTTATGTATGTATGTATGTATGTGTATATGAAACATACATTACACTGAGAGATAAACATTTACTGGGCTTCATCAGCCTCCCCCTTTCCTGTATACGCACATTTATACAGACAAAGCTAGGTGCATAGATACAGTGGTGCCTTTAGGTCACTTTAGCTCCATTGTAACACAGCAGTTTGTGACAAACTCCCGCTTCACTGTGGCACCAAGCATTCTTCTTATTTAGTGCTGTATAATAGCATAGAGTCAATATTTATGCAGTATGTATGTAGGTAAGGGCAAATGTAACCTACATACAAAGCTCAAACCCGAATATGGTGTGCTAAGATTCTGAAGCCTGAGTAAGGCTTTGAAAACCACTTTAAGTGTTTGTGTGCTAACCATTGTCGCTGTTTTTCCTGGTAAGTGGGGCATGGCTGCTTTGGGCTGCTGCCTCCTCTGGAACTTGTGCCAAGTCACTGGTCTAACCACATGAGAAACAAACACTGGTTAATACATATACATACACACACAGCAACATGCATTCACATTAACCTCAACGGCCACACAGTGGCCTAAAAAGTGTTTGGACACTTTAACTATGGAGCCACTAGTAAACTTTAATGACACTGTTTAGGTTATTTCATAAAAGTGTTTTTTTTTTCAGAGAAAACTTTTAGCAAAACATCAAACTCTTTGAGGCAGATTTACTAAAAGAGATACTTATTATTGATGGTCTACAGACAAAATCGTTTTTTCATGTTGGTGGAGTAATAGCTTCCTTTTCAGATGAGCTAATGAGCTAAAACTACAGCCAAACAACGCTGGATGCTAATGAAAACTCACTGGTGGATGATGATCGTCAAAGTCAAAGTTTATTTATATAGCACTCTTTACAACAGGTGTTGTCACAAAGCAGCTTTACAGGGAAATCTGAGTCCAAGCCCCCATGAGTGTGCCAGCAGTGACAGTGGCATGGAAAAACTCCCTAAGAGCAGGAGGAAGAAACCATGGGAGGAACAAAGACTCTAAAGGGGAATCCATCCTCCCCTGGTCGACACCGGATAGGAAACAGTGTTAGTACAAAATATTAGTGTTAGTATAAAATCTTGTCAGATGAATATGTTTTCACTAATATCAACACCCTCATATTAAGATAACTGTGTTTCAGAGTAGCAAAGTGTAATATAATACATGCACTTACTTGCAAATACAAGCCACATTTTACTGTACTGTTAAAACATAAAATTGCTGTTTGACTAAATTGATGATCTATCTTCCCACGATGGAACGTGACAAATACTCACTGCTCACAATTGCTCACTGGCAAAAGCAGCAGTTAACTCAGTGTTCTAGCACCTGTAAGCATTCCCAGCACAAAGGCATTTTTTCTGCAAAGAAACTGCTCAAACGATAACGATCTGAAACACACCAGCCGACTGAAATGGTCCGTTTAAAATAAATGCCACTTGGTTTGACATTTTGTTTCTGAACACAGTGAACTTCATACATTTTTAAGTATAGCACAAATGTCTCCAACTCTCCATTCAAGGATTTTATTTTAGACAGTTTGCCTCATTCACGCATCAGCAATCGCTGATTCTCTTACCATGCTATGTGAGTTATTCTTCCCATAGTAATTTGATGCACGTTTTCATGTCGTTTTTGTTTATCAACCTCTCTGTCTTTTTTAAATGACCCCTTCCAAGGCCATTATTGTAAACACTGAAACAGATTTTAATCAGCAATCCTGGTTAAAGAAAGGTTAAATAAATGATGGGTTAAAATACAAACAGAAAAACACAGACTCTCTTTCTCTTTCACAAACACACACACTCAGCCCTGCTGACCCAGACATCTGTTAAATGATTGCATTGTGCTCTCAAATGAGGCATATCAGCAGGTTTAAACTGGGTGAAGTGCTAATGGTTTGGACACGAACGGCGTCTAAACAAACCAGTGGAAGCACTGTTATAGTCGCACCGGGACTCTTTACACTGTACCACATAAAGATCCAAATCTCCCGAGGGCAGTGGAGCTGCTGTGCTTTTTTTCCACTGCACAGCCATTTCTTTTTTTGTGTGTGTTCTTGCCTCCCTTAGCTGCTGAGAGAGTGTTTTTCAGGTTAATGGTCTGCTCCTCTCCTTTATCCTGCAGGGTTTGTGTTCTGTCCATTCTCTCACCCTCTTTCCTTTTGCTTTTCCTTTACGGGTAATATTTGCTTCAGAGTGGCCTTATCTGACCATCGCTTGAGTCTTAGGGAGACAGTGTGTCTGCGTGAGTGAGTGAGGGTGAGTGAAATTGAGTGTGTGTATGTGTTTCACAGCGATACTAAAGGCAATTCAACTGTTTCTATTAGGACTCGCTGCCTGCTCTTCAAAAACAAACAGAAGTAATGTTTGCCTCACTTACGTATTGTTTCAAATAACATGTTTAAAGGCCTTTACACACTGAGCGTGATTTACTGTGCGACTACTAATTAATCACTAAATTAATTCAAACACACACATAACTGGTGTTCTTCCACATCAAATGTGATGTTCTGGATGGCAAAAATGTAACATTATACTATTTCCCATTTTAATTTTTGCAAATTTCCACAGGCGACACTCATTCAACCAGCTGTTTCTGTCACTGTCCCTGGAATGGTCATGTCTCTCTATAATGATTTAGAGCAGGGATGCCCAATCCTTGCCCTGTAGACTCACCAACTGAAGAGTTCAGGTCCAACACACCTAGCTCTAATATTCAGATGTCCCTGAAAGACTTCATTATTTGGATCAGGTGTGCTAGATTAGGGTTGGAAGTAAACTCTGTAGGGTGGCAGATCTCCAGGACGAGGACTGGGCACCCCAATTTAGAGCGTATGACCTCTTAGGGCGAGCAGGATGGACAAGATGTCCAACCAGGTCCATCATACACCATACAATAAAGAGGTTGCCCAGTATTATTCATCTAGCCCTATTTAACACTTAAATGACATTCATAAAGTGAATCTTACAGAGTTTCTTGGCGGTGAATCTGAGCCACTGGTCCTCTTTGTCTTCTGGGCCAGAGACGTCCCAAACCGTAGTGTCTCATAAACCGGGTCCACCTTACTACCACAAGCTGGAACAGGAGAAAGATGTGTCGATAAAACACACAAGAACACAGTGTCCTGTTCAGGATGATGATTCCTTCTTCACCTCAAACAGACTGACGATTAATATCAGCATTTCTTCAGAATACAGTTTTAAGAAAAGGAAAAAAAAGATTGTGAAAGAATTAATAAGGCAACTATTAATAGGCTCGTTTCCCCAAAAAGGGAATTAAATCAGAAACATTTCACATAGAATTTTGCCATAATGAAGCATTTTCTTCTGGGTGGTGTGAAATGAAAAAGTATCACCAAAGTCTCACTCACCAAAGGGCATCACCTCTTTGATGCAGCCAAACTGCTCCTGGATAAGCAGAGGGGAGCTATAGTACCTCCTGAAGCCTTTTGGCTGCACACACACAGAAAGAGAACACAGCATCAGTACAGAGACACAGCTGACAGGAGCTCCACATCTCAACTTAGTCTGAATTCAGTATGAAATGCTGTGAAATCTGACTGATTTTATACAAGTGGAGCAGGACGTAAATTGAGGTTACGCTGTAAATATATTCACTGGTACAAGCAGTGCTTTCTACCAATTAGTTAAAGCTCTTCTCAGCACAGCTGGTCGTTCTACCATAACACTGTGTACTGTCGGTCAGATGCTATAATAAGGTTAACAGTGTGTCTCAAGGGACACTTGATGACTGGCTTGGAATACTGTTGTGACTGTGGATGTCGAGGTCATAGCAGCACAGGTACTGCAACACTACATGTCATAAATATTAAAGACTGAAGCTGATGGAAAGAAAGTGCACTTGAACAAAAACCTGAACTGCTCTTCTAGCCGCGCATTTTTGTGATTGCCCTGTTCTAATCATTTTAATCCTTTTATGATTTCTGGTGACACAGCTCAGGACAAACACAGTGAAGGAAAAGCAGGGCAGCAGTATTTCAGGACTGGGCTGGAAACTATGATACAGACTAAAGTACTATTCAAGTGATATTAGTTCTACGCCAGGTAATGTAATTATTAGCTGTGAATTTAGTCCCATCCTAACACGACGTCACTCATTTTTACGCACTGCACACGCGTGCAAATTAATTTTGTGTGAACTGCCATTTCAGTAAATATTCCTCTGGAAGAGGAGTTTTCACAGCTTTTCTTAAGTGTGGAGGTGCTTGAAGCATTTACGTGTATTTGATGTGGCCCAAATTAACAGTAATGTATTATCCTACTTCAAGTGTACAGCTCTGAACATTAAAACATGCAAAATGACAGAAAAAAAAAAATATGTGAAGATGTTGACTTGGCTGTGAAAAGACAAGCGGGGGACAATGCTAATGACACACTGCATTACCTGAACATGGCTAGGAAGACAGGGAAAAACAAAATTACGATGAAATTAATTGTTTGGACATGCTTTACTGCTTTTGGTATTTGGTATATTGATATAAATAAGTGTGTAAATCAAGTAGTTATTCCTGTCTCAGTGATTTCTCCTCCTGTGCAAATCGGTCATAACTATTACAGATAACGTGGCACAACTACAGTACCCTTCCTCCACATGTAAAACTGATGTAAACCTTAAGAAAATAAAGTTCATTCTAATAGTATCATATTCCTGGCAATCTGATCATTTCTGTCTTGTAAAATGAGCAGAGAACGGAGAAGCAAAGCCAGAACAACAACAAGAAAAACTGATTTGAAGGTGTAATTTATCCTCAAATGTATAACAGTATTGTTCTGGTGTCTGACTCAGAAATCAGGCAAAATGTTTTGCAGAAGATAAGCTTGTGTTTTTATCTGACCAGCTGTGTGTGATCTGTCACACTCTTCAGTCAAGGTGAGAATGCTCACCCTTCATCTTCTCACTCTCCCATTCTCTCCATCTCACACATATACAGTCTCTCAGATGTAGCTGAATATATAAATGTCATGATTACCAAAAAGGCCATTTCGATTACAAGATTGAAACGGTCAGATACTTTCATCTCTTGCTCTAAAGGCTTATTTTAACCGCCCACTCATTCTCGCCAGCAACCACACTGACCCCATCATTTACACACACATTTATTTGGACACATAGACTACATTCGGTATCAAGCCAATGTGTTAAACATGAAAGGAATGTTCCAGTGTGATTGGGGATTCTCCTCTCAGAAGTCTTTTTAGCGTCCAACTTAGGCCTTATATGCATCCAGAACAACCAGCCTTAAATTCTCTGTGCAGGTGAATTCATCTTAATTCATGCTGTCCAGATTTTGCTACCTCTGCCAATGATCCTTTTTTATTATTTCAGCCTCTGAAGTGGATTAAATTGTTTTAACTTTGAACATATTGGAGATTTAATCCAGTACAGTAGCCAATCCAGACTGCATAATCTTCCTTGGTCCAGGTGCCATCCTAATATGGAAGCATTAGCATTATAAAACCATATGTGGCCTCCAATACACACACACACGTGCGCACACACTGCACTAGCCATGCCCTTACTTGTTTATGTTTTTGCCGTGATAAAGGACAGCATACACAATCAGCATCCCAAATCTGCTTTGATGAATTCTTCTTTATCCACGACTGAAGAGATGGCGAGCTAAAATAAGCTTCGCTCCGGTACCGTAAGCACCTCTCCAGTACCTAGACGTCACATTTCAGATGCAGCTCATTATGAGAAAGGTTAAAAGGAGCAGGCCTATTGTTGTTATGGCAGCCTAATGAATGCAGGAATGGCACAGCATCACTGGTCAGGTAACTACATTTAAAGATTGATTGACCCAAATTTGCTCGATCTAATACCTGGATTATTAACAACTTGTGAGGATAATTAATTATGATGTTTATTTTTAACCACCTTTAGAACAAAGAAGATCAATAATTATAGATTTGCGCTCTATACTTTTTGTTACTAAGGCAAGCAAAACAGCAAGAATACCAGCAACACTGGTGTATTTCGAAACCCACTCCTCAAATAAAGGCTAACTAATGAGGGGTGCACCCCTACAATGCCTTTATTATCGCAGTCCTTGCCACTCTTAGCGCGTTTTCGTTTTCATCTTCCTCACTGAATACAACTTCTTCCCAAAGCCCATGGAGCTCAAAGATTCCCTCTGGTCTCAGTGATCACACAGGCCAAGAGAAATAAACATGCTTAAAAATAACAACATGCCAAGTTAAGGGAAAACTGAACTCGAAGCTGGACTCGGCAGGGAGTTCTTCTTTTTAAGCTCGTCCCCTGTGGCGTGATTTTCCATCCCTGTGAGCCGAAAACTTCATTGGCAGTCTCATCCTTACGCCCAGAGCAACACTACACGTGTCTTTTTTTTCCATTTCCTTTTGGGCATACGATTCTCCTCTTGCAGGGACAGTAGGGCACACAGATCTGTGGTTTCCTGGGGATTAAAACCCCTCAGGAATTACACGGACATCATCATCAGATCACTGTACATATTTTACGCTCTCCAGGTGGGTTCATACTGGAGTGTTGTTTTAATTCATCTATTGCAGTAGCGCTAACTGGACTGCCACTTGCAGAGATTCCTGACTACCACTTAGTGAGCACCCTTTGACAAGTACCACTTAACTTCATGCTTATTCACTCTCATCTGGACAGTGCTGAACGGACTCGTGATTTAAAAGTGAAGAAGTCATATGCAGTTTTGTCAGGCTGGGAACTGTAGTTTTCCACATTTGCTATTGCTTTATTAGTCTGCAGGTGTTGATTTATTCTCAGTTCTACCACTAGCCCTGTCCAGTTCAGTCTGCTGAAGGCGTCCCCTGGTACGAACATCAGTCATATTACTTATGTTGCCAGCATCAGTGGTTTGTTTTGCTTGTAAATGACACTTCAGATTGATACTTCACTGACAAATTCAAAAGAAATAACTGGAAATAACGTTTATCCAGAGATTCATTGAACTCGCCATTTAAAAGCTGTGTTTGAATGAGAGTTATAGCAACAGCACATGAGCAGCTGGGCTTCAGGCTGGACCTTGGGATGGTTCAAAGGGTCAAATAAGGAAAATGTGTTAAAAAATTAGTGGTATTAATGATTTATGTCATATCTTAACCCATATTTTTTGGAAGTTACTGCTGGCAATAAAAAAGCATGTTGTAATTTCATATGTAGAAATAGTGTATACATTTCAATTTAATGCATGTAGTACTATGTGGTACTAAAACATAGTCATCATTCTAATTTCAACATAATTATTTCACTCATTAAATTACATGTACCAATGCAAAAGGTCCATCCAGTGGATATAATGCTGAAATTTGTGTGGACCGATGCATTGGCAGAGTTCCCCGTTCTCATCCATCATTCCCAGAGTTACCTGGCATGCATCCGGACAGGACAGCAGTGATGGGAAAGGCAGCTTTCTGGAAGTTAGCCCCCTTAAAAATTCTATTCTGCTGTTTTTCCATGGGGACTGTTTTTCCATATGGGGGCCGTGTGAAACCCCTAGTGCGGTCGTGACTGCAAGACCCTGGAGAGACACTGAGAGATGCTCAAACGGTAGATGCACGTTTCCCCATCGACACCACCCACACTCTTTAGCTAACACACGAACACGCATACAAACGCTTTCTGCTACACACACACACACACACAATCTCATTAAGATGCCTGCTCACACCCCAGTTCACAGAAGGAGGAAAAGACAGAGTGCTGAATAACACCATCTAACGTCTAATCTTCATCTAATCGCCAAAAATAACTACCAGGGTTAATGTACTCTATAACACACATACACACACAGACACATATTCAGACCCAAACACAAACACTCATAACTACACCGGACAGCCTATAACTAACACATACGCAGATGCAAATACATAGGGAATCAGAAAAACCTAATCAGGAAAACCTAATCAGAAAAGTCCTGCTGGTCCTCCTTATAGTTATCACCAAGAAGACACTGTGAAGTAATATGTGTGGCAGTCTGCAGAAACCCATTGGTTGTGATTATATCGTGGTTATATGTTTTGGGTGGTCTGTTTATATTTCCTTCTTCTATGTAGTTTTATTGTCTTTAATTATTTTACGTTATGTATGTACAGGCCAGCAATTACCCTTCGGAGATCATTAAAGTTGGACTGAATTGAACTGAACTGAATTGGATGATGCTAAAAAATGTTTTGGCTTCTGTCAAATCTTTTTACAACATTTTGATTGTGTATTTTCTGTTTCTACATGATTAATTTTTGCTGTAGGCATTATTTTGATGTTTATTTTTCAACTTTTTCAAGATGGAGGCAAATCAAAGCACCAGTTAGCAAGATGGCCTTTTAGTGTCATGTTTCTAGCACTTTTCTTACACCAGGGATGCCCAATACGTCGACGTTAGCAGATCGCGCCTGGTTCAAACAGCCTAATTTCAGCACTTTCTTACTGCTTCTGGTGGCGGGCAGGTCAATGTAATTGACTGACGTGAAATGTGGCCACTGTCTCTTTAATTTACTCCTACGCCGCAGCCACCTAAAGCCCTGTGGTGAGTTTGTCTCTCTAGCAATCTAGAAAGTTTTCATTTACCAGTAGCTGTTTGTGTTGCACCATATTTGCGTTTTCTTTTCGTAACCTACACTGACTCTTTCAGAAGACGAGTGCGAGATCGAGCACAAAGAAACTGATAACTTCCATGCAGAGCGGGAGGAGGACTATCCTTTTACAATGTCAAACTCCAAATGCATCTGCTTGATTTGCCAAGTAGCCATCGCAGTTCCAAAGAAGAGGAACGTCAAGAGGCATTTTTGAACTATACACAGAAACTACGATGCCGAATTCACAGCTAAAAGTGAAGTCAGGAAGAAAAAAGTGGTCCAGACTACACAAACCAGCTGACACCATTCAGTGCCTATCATCAGAATAAGGTTAGTGTGATTTTTCAGTCGTTTGCTCTGTAATGCTGAATGTCAAAATAGACCACTGAAGTGCTTTAAACAGTTTCAAAAAAGGCTAGGCCCGTCTTTTTTAAAGGTAGATCATGATGACCTGTCTACTGGAAAAAGCAGATCTCAAGCCACAAAAGTATGGGCACCCCTGCCTTACACAAGAGGAAATAACTGTTCAAATAAATCTGCGCAAAGGTAGTGAGCGGTTTGTTTGTTTGTTTGTGTGTGTGTGTGTTTGTGTGCATGTCTCCCCATCTTCAACTGACACGCCTCACAGCACAGTAAAAACCTTTCGAGAACAATGCAAATACTGCCAGATATTTGAACGATCTCACCCATATTAAAATAAACAAGAATGCCAATGTAAACAAACTGAAATAACTGATAAGTGAGCCATCCAAAAACCAAAAGTCAAAGAGTGACAAGAGCAGTACCTATGAAGAGAGCATGAAAGTGACTGTCTGCAACAGGCTAAGCAACTACTGCAGTTGAAATAATAGCACAACATTATTTATTTATAAATATTAAAAATATATGGATGAGTAACAATGGAACTTGCATGCTTTCTGTAGGCGTTGAAAAGACTCCTAAACTTAATGATAGATTGTTGTATGTTTTTACATTGTTTTAAATTGTGCCCTGCTGTCTACTGATAAAACAGAACCCTGATGGAATGCAGTCAAATCTTTACATGTGATTTTCTCACATCTTTTTGGCTTCTCATAGGTGGTGGACTTAAAATATCATGGTTCTGGTTAAACATGTTTGTGAGAGTTTTCAAGAAACACAAATAACAGAAGTTCAAAATTCCACCATGTGAAGTGTTTCTGCAGGCCGCCATGCTTATTTTTTAGCACTGCTAGTGTCATCCAGCAACTGAAAAATGTTTACTGTACATGTTGTGGATGTGGATGGGCATCTGGACATATTAAAACAAACCTCAACATCATGATAAATGTGTAAGATGTAGATATTAGTGTAAGATGTAGATATTAGGATTGACACTGATTACTTCTATTCTTCCAGTTTTTTGTTCAAAAGTATGTGTGAAATCACAGTAATTCTTGAAAAATGTCAAAATTACAGCAATTTGCCAGTGGCACATGACAGCCGGTCTCTGCAGGACAGCTGTCACTTCACAGTACCATTAGCAGTATGGAATTAGAGACTAATTGTGTCAGAAAAAAGGTCTGACAATCAGTTTCTTTCAACTGATTTAGCACATTTACCCTCATCTTCAACGCAGTTAGCCCAGCTATTGTTCTCAATTACAGTCCAAAGTACATAATCTTATTCCATGACATTACATGCAGGCCAGTTTTCTTTACCTTCAGTGTAGGGCTGCACGATATTGACATAAAATGCAATGTTCGATAGAACTGTTACAATGATGAATATGAGAAGCAATAAATTATTAAAATAGTGTACCTCTAAGTGGATGTAATGCAAGTACAGACATATTGTTTGTATGTGTAAACAGAAATCGGTACCACTTTAAAAAAGACTGCACTTATAAAGCATTTATGAATGGTTTAAAATTAGTTTGTTAATGGTTACTAGTTAGGTCATAAGCACTTAAAAAATTGAATAAGCAGTTATAACACATTAATAAAAAAGGAAAAAATATATCTGATCAATATGAATGTGATGAAGCTGACAGGTTTAATGCTGACTGATGAAGACATTAAGATCAGTAAAAATATGAGGTTTAACAGTATAAATGAATGAGGGTTTGCTATTAGGCAAACAACAGGTCACTGTTGCCGTTTTTGTTTATGTTTTTAATTTATAATCATTAATAAACTCTTTTAAACCATTCATGTGTTTATAAGGGTAGTCTTATTCTAAAGTGGTAATACTAGCCTCTCCTTTAAGCAAACAGCAAATACAGCTCTTAACATCACAACTGCAATCACATTTTTTGTGCACTGAAAGCTAATACAATAAAAGCTACAAAAAACAAATAATCATGTATTTATTTTTATATAGGCATTTAAGAATGAACAAATATTTTTATTGATTTTTTTTTTATTATTGTTGTGACAGTAGTCATTATTACCTTGCACACTTAAAGCACAATACCAGGTGTGAGAACAATCCTGTGCATCATAACTTGCTGCTGTAATGACACTTTCACTATGCACTTTACATTGTAATATTGCTGCAACTCCTAGTTATGTCTATACTCATTGTTTACATCATACCACTCAGTGCCTGCTATCATGTAAATACAACAACTGTCTCATATGCTACGTAAATATGCAAATAGATATACTTTATTTCTTATAAACTTATGTCTGTCTGTCTGTCTGTCTGTCTACCTGTCTACCTATCTATCTATCCATCCATCCATCTAATGACTGATGTGTTTTATAGGTGTGTAGTTCAGGATGCAGTAGTTTTTGACCTGCATACATGTGCCCACTGTTTAAGTTACTTATCCCCCACGTGGGAGGACAGGGTTCAGTCCCAGCACAGAGAAGCTTCTAACAGCGTGTGTTGATCTGTTCTGTCGTCACAGCTCTTAATGATGTGTCTATCATGATAATGATGAAAATACAATTTATCATGCAGCCCTACTACATTGGTACAGAAATATAGGTCAAAGTTTACAGGACTTTCAGCAGTCCAGTCTTCTGTGGATTACAGTTTATTCCAGTATCATATCTGTTACACTGAACCCTTGGTAAGTTTCCATACAGCTTTCCTTCTTTCTCAACCTTCGTCACACCTTTGCACTGCATAGTTTAGTGGCTTCCCCTTTTCCATCTTGTTAATTAACTGATGAGTTAAAGCAGTAGTGTTAAAGCAGGGAAAAACAAACTAGGTGTGCCCTGATCCAGTTTTTGCCCCAATCCTGCTCTGAATCACATAATATTGAGCATCTGCTGATACTGATCTGATATATGTATTTTTTAAGGATAATCCAGCCATGCAGAAAACATTTTAAGTACATTAAACTTAGTAGGACAAATCCAATTTAGGAAAGATCTGCTAGGCTGACGTTTTGGATGGGGGGGGTTGGGAGGTGGGGGGTATGTGTGTGCACTGTGTGTGTGGGAGGGGGTAGGGCCTAGTTTTTTTAAAATGTCCATCTGTTTAATAAAATCCATTTGTTTTTTGACAACTTATTATCTTACAGCATCAAATGAAGATTTTGATCATTATGTTACTGTTAACATCCGTTTATGCACTACGGTTCGAAAAAATAACGTTTCAATGTTGCAGACATTTGGACCACTTGTTAACTTATGGCAACGGTCAGCACTGCTGCGAACTGGGGATCATGTCTGATAATAGTACCTCTACAACGTTGAAATATGCCTGGACCAGCTCCCAATCCAGACCTTTAGATTCATACATCCATAATATAGACTACACTTTGACAGGAAATGGGACACTACAATAAGACTCTCCTACAACAACAAAATACCGTCACAGCCCATCACAATACAAGAGGGAAGGTAAAGAGTCTTACCAGTTTGCCCATGCACCTTTGTTGTCCTACCCCGTCCAGACACTTGTGATGGATACCCATCTTGCAGGCTTTGCAACGGAGTCCCAGCTTGGCGTTGGGGCCTGTCAATCACACAGCCATATCTGCTCACTATCAGCAACAAACCTGTACCGTTAGGAGTCATTTATGCCTGGAGGGTGTCATTTACATAATCCTATAGTAAGAATAAAGAGTTTATTTTATTTACCTACATGTACTCACTTACTAATTACTAATGACAGCTTAGCAGGACTGGCCATAAAGCCCTAATCAGGAATGAAGCTATGGCCACCTAACGGTTTAACAGACAGCAGGGTAAACATACATGCACCTTACAGCGGGTACACTGTTGTTAGTGAAATACAAGCCTTGCTTTGCAGGCAACAGCAGTATTACCTGGACAAGCAGCTATGGAATCAGCCCTTTAGAGGGGAAATACAAGCCAGTTGTTTCTATTAGCAAGTAAAATTACCACAGAGACATGTTGAGGTGGGATTTACTGCCCTCTTCTTTGTGTATGCTGTGTGCAACCAGGCTACTTCTCCTCAGTTCCACAGCGAAAACATATCAAATCCAGATGCATACATATACATATATATATATATATATACTTACATTAAAAGTAAAGTAGGTTTTTTCCTTTTCTTTTTTTTTAATCGCCACCTCAGGCAGTCTCCATCACTCACACTGAATGTCTAATGCATTCTGGATTTAAAATAGCCCATTCATCTGAAGCCTTTAAATGTTGCATGGGTGAAAGTCTGCATTTGTTAGAATTTTAGGCAGTAAATGCCAAATGCTGTCTGAATTCCATAACGTGCTCAAGTTCTCTTATTGGAGAGCACACATTTTTCAGCTAAATTCCTTTTTTAGCTGAAAATTTTTTTTAGACAAACCCAATCTGTGAATATCAATTTGACGGATGCTGTTCTAAACGGTGGAGTCAATTAGAGCAAAGCAGATGCACACCAAAGGTGGGCAAAATAAAAAAAAAACAAAGACCAACATGTCTTTGATGTACGTCCACTTTTCTCTATTCATTTATTTGTTACTGCCATAAAAGAGACCACCGGTTTCAGCTTTCATTTATGGCACAACACCAGCATAACACATGCAGAATCACACCCTTAATTAGCCGGCCGAACACTCTTTAGCTTTAGCATCAACACCAGTGGAAACTGATCAAGATGCTAACGATGATGCTAAACAGAAGCAGAAAGGTGTTTGAGCACAAACAGCATATGCAGCTAATATGTTGATGCCCAGAAGAATCTTCTACTTACGCATGTAGTACATCTTAGTCACAGCCTACAGTGCTGCTCAAGTTAAACCTATTACATGCACACCATTAACATTCATATATTGCTGAACGCCATTTATTTTAATGGCTTTCCATTAAATTAAACAGTTATAACTAAGAAAGAAGAAAGAAGGTGGCCATTAAATGAGTTGGGTACAGAAAATCAGTTCCCAAAGTACCTGGTCATATTAGCACTTCAATACACTGAAACCCTTCAAGAGAATACAGCGCGCATGATTGGTGCTTTGAACAGAAGACACGTCATAAATTCTATTTATTTGGTACTATAATGCATTTTTATTTAACTTTATTTAGTTTCTCCAACAATACTTGACACCTGACTGGGTTCTTAAAAGAGAAAACGGTCAAAATCACACTGTCAAATTTAGATCATAACTAGAAGATTAAGCACAGCAAGCAAAAGCATTAGGGCTTTCATTCAGTTCTCCTCTCCTGACCCTGCCACATGCATGGCAGGACTATAAGAGAACAAAAATGAAATGCTAAAGTTCAGGAAAAAGCTTCTTGTCTTCAGGCAGCAACACTAACAAAGCCACTCAGACCAAAAACGGCAGGAGATAATGTGATTCTGAAATACAAGAAGACTGAACAAGTCCCAACATCTCTCTCATCTCTCAGACACAAACATGCATACAGACAAACAAATGTTTCTTATCTAAAACAAATTTAAAAGAAACACTCTGTAATATAATAATGCTTCTCTTTTGTCTCTAAACAGCATCTGGGCAAAGAAAAAGCTGCTGCTACTTCGCCTGTGTGTGTGAGAGACAGACAGAATGTGTCAGTCTGTGTTGGCAGGTAGGTTTTTTAATCAAAACCGTCTTAATTTTCTTGCTAGTTTTTCCGTTTTCTCCCCAATTCAGTTTCCGCCAGCTCTTGTAGCTGTAGGTTTTTTCCGTCTCACATTAGCACTATCAATCTGAGAAGACAAAAGTTCACCCCACTTTCCTCAGATGTGCATGAACACAGCTATTAGCAATGGAGCCTTATCAAGCATCTGAAAGAGCCTGGAGGAGAATGTCAGCTGGTACTGATACATGACACAGATTAACTTCTTCCAAGCACCAAGGTGGGCTGAGATATGACTTACATTAGAAGGAACATAGAGAAGCGTTACATGCTTCCGACACAATGACAGCACACTCAACTTTACTGACAGCAACAAAGCTGGGTCTGGTCGGCTTCTTAGAAGAATGAGCAGCTCAGGGGCAAAACAATTTTGGTTTCATTAAGATCCACTGCTTTGGCAAATGAACTGTAAAAAATGGTTGATTTAACAGGTTTGTGAGACTCAGATTGATTAAAAATATTGATTTAGATCATTAAAAGCTTACTGATCACTGATTTCACCTGAATTAAACCAAACTGCTTGTTGCCACATGAAGCACTTTTTCTAGTTTGAACTGACAAAGTACTTTTACAGTGCAGTTATAATGCACATGGTTACAGTAACAGAAAAAACCCTACACAAAAGCATCTACAATTCCAAAAGCAGCTATCTAATAACAATGGAACTGATTTCTTCTTTTTGTTGCTGTAATGAAGGAGGATTATTTAGGCTTAATTAAACCACTGTCTACATGGTGCAAAAGAGTGAGAGTCTTGTTTGGGTTTAGAGAGGGAGAGGATATTAAACACTAATTACTCTGTGACAGTGTTGACTGTTGGTCAGAAAGGCTTAAGACTAGTGAAGACATTTGAAGATGATTCTGTTGCAAAAATTTATGGAACAGTTAACCCTCTGTTGCATGAATTATGAGTTAAACATGATAAAAATGTTTTAATGTGTTTTTGTTATTTAAAATTGTTTAAATAATGGAAATATTTGAAAAAAAAAAATGTTTTAAATTGGGGTATTTGGTAAATTGTTGCCATATGGCAACAATGAGCAAACGTACCATAGCACCATAAAATCTAAAAAAGGACCATAAAATCAGATTTTTCTCTAAAAACATACATTTTTGACAAAAAGACCAAACAAACCCAACTTATACTTAGTGAAATGTATGACCCAATATTTACAAATATTGAAAATTAATACAATTTCAATTGGCATTTGTAATATATGGTAATAACAACATCATAATAAGAATTCCTAGTCATGATGTGATGTGATAAAGTAGTTATCCTTTTAAAGTAAAAGACCATTTTTCCACAATTAAATAGGAAAACACATCTTATGTCACTGATTTTTAGTAAAACAGAGATAAGAGTATTTGTTGCCATATGGCAACACAATGCAACAGAGGGTTAAAATGCATATTAATATTTTGAATCATTTATGAATAACATTTAGGTCAGAAGCTGGCAACCCAAAAGAAGAGCCATTTGGTCCCATTTCAACAAAAATGGTCGTTGACAGTTTCTCAGTGCAGATTAAACACACCTGGAAACCAGCTGGAGTGCATATAAATGCAAATAAGTCTATCCATTCGTCTCTAAGTTCTTGATGGTTGTCTTGAATATTACTCTACTTTGCCATTTTGTTAGCCACTAGCTAGACAAGACTGTTGTCTGCGTTGCTGTGACCAACAGTCTGCGCACCAATGTTCAGGATTAAACGTTGGTGTGTAAGCAGGTATATATTAATTCCAACATTTAAGACCACTTATTGTTAAAACTGTGTTAGAAGGCTCAGAAAAGCTTTATTTTACCGCAAAGGAGGATTATTTTATTTTTACCTAAAAATCTAATTCTGCTGTGGAGCATCAAAGGGGGCAGTAAAAGAGCTTTGGACCACTCTGAAAAACGTTTGGACACTTTAGACCTAACTTTTTATTCTTTGTAAAAACTGAGGAAACAACTGGCTCCTTTTGAAATTATGCCAAATCTCACACATTTTATCAGCACTCAAACCTTTCAGGGGTTTAAATTACACTATATGGCCAAAAGGATGCGGACAACCCTCCTAAAAATTAAGTTTGGTGTTTCAGCCGCACCCACTGCTAACAGGTACACAGAATCAAGCCCATAGCCCGAGAAATCTCTACACCCCTGTACAACACACTGTATTGTGTGGTACATCTCCAAAAGCCTGAAAGAGCCAATAAAGCCCTTTTATAAAAGCCATTAAACCATTAAATTGTCCAAGTCGAGAAAATTAACATGATAAATATTAATCTTATTACTGTCTAACTTAATCTTTTATCAAAGCAAGTGGAGAAAAAAACAAGAACTCCCAAGAGCAACTCAAACAGTAAACACATTTGCTTGATTAATTACCCGACTCCCTTGTCAAAATTACTACTTTAATTTCAGACACATTAGACACAGGCATGGAAAAGCTTCACTAAAAACATAACCTCTAATCACACAACTCTACAGAAGTATCTACACAGAAGATGGTAGCATGGCCAGACACACTCTTGGAAATCCAGATCCAGAAAGGGTGTCTTTTTTTATTTAAAAAAAAGAACTTCCTTAAAGGATCCTCACAAGGTCACACAGGATTTCAAAATGCTTGAGGGCGAGTTCCTTCAAATGAGTGTCAGCCAAGGGTTTGAAGAACAATGCCTTGAAGCATTTTTGTTCCCCTGAGTATGAGGCATAAGACTAGTTACGAGACGTGCAGCCTCATACCAGGCACTTGCATGGTTACAGGGGCCTTATAATTATTTTACTACTATTATGACTATTTTATTAGCTCTACTTTGCCTACCAGTCATGGGTTCAGTACAGCAGGAAACAGAACGCACTTACCGAAGACTTTGCCCGCTCCCCCTTGGCAAGCTAAGAAAAAAAAATTACAAACAAAAAGTTCCT